GTGTTTGCAGAAACGGTGCTTAAAATGGTTACAGACGTTTTCTTACAAAATACGGCTTCTCAAAATTCATGTAGATCTTTTCCTCCGACTCTGCAATAAATACAGTATATGAATCGACATCTTAAACAAATTCGAAATATTCAATTATTTAAAAACATAAAAGCACATTAAACATTAAAATGAATTACAATTATTGCATGTTTATTTAAAATATTTTATGATTTAAATATATCTCAATAATTGTTCCTTTAAATCGGCTTAATTTCAAGCCTTCATCTTCCCTTAGCAGAAGGTAACACACAATATATATATATATATATATATGTATACTGCATACTTCATTTATAGCAGTAATAACAAAAGTACCTTGAAAGGTTTCGACATCTTTAAAAAACACCAAATGTCCACTAGGAAAATGGCTGCGGATGCTACACCATGGACAAATGTACTTTTCTTATTATATGAGATAGTATAGTTCTAGTATCTTTCAACAGAGTACAGCACTTGAAGAACTAGAAATTTGTGGATCCCATATCATTAAGACTATCTCATAATTTTATCATCTCCTTTAAAGCTTCAAAAAAAAAAAAAAAATCGAATCCTCTAAGTCGACATGTTTTGTTGAATGTAACCTAAATGTATGCAATACATTTACGCAGTAGTGTAATGTTAAACACTTTTAGAAAAAATAAATAAATCAAAGTACCCAACGTTTAAAATAAACAAGGCAAATGATAGCAGTAAAGTAGTGATTAAGAACCAAAGTTAAAACAAAGTATATGGTGTGAGAAAATAAAAATTACCAAAGTCAAATTTGACTTAATTTCACTTTCGGTTGTGCTGTTCGGGCGCAGTGGCCTCAGAAGGAAAGTTTACTGCTCGCAGTCAGAGTGAATCCGGAGCAGACAAGTCGTACGCTGAATCATTCTTTAAACAAAGTTTTCTTGACACATTTAAACTAAACCAACTTAAGTAGAGGACGGTTTGGGTTGACCCAGCTGTGCACTTATTTTGCCAACCTCTTTCCCGAAGTAAGGTCAGGGTGAATCATTGTCTTTCTCTCTAGCTTGTTTTGCACACGTGCCAGCTGCTGTTAATAGGCATAGTTAGTACCTCTCGGGTCTCTGATGCTTCTCCCCGACTAATTGCTACATTACCGACTGCCCTTGCAGTCGGTAATGTACGTCTTTAACTGTGAACAGACAGGGATCTTCCATTCCTAGTCAATTTCTGTTACTCTGGCTTCTCTAAACACTAATCGACGAACTGTCCAGCTAGGCCTTGGCTTAAGACAGCTGTCAAAGCTGAAGGTCTTGGAAATCATTTCGGTCAACCAACCAAACTCTGGTGTCTTTAAGGCCATCTGTTGAAGTACCAACTTCGACAGCTCTTCTGTGCGTTTTATAAAATATAGCTGCAGATTAGAACTGGGTAACGTGCCGTCCGAAACGAACAAGCAGCCATTTTATAAATTTATTAACATAACACAAAGAGGGAGGTACACGGGGTTTTCCTCCGGGGGCTTCCCCGGTTTCTCCGTGGCAACAATTACTCCATTCACACACAGAAGCAGGCAATGGCAAACCACTTCTGGATCATCTGCCAAGAACGTATATGAACAGGTCCCAGTCCGAGAAAAGGATGGAAGGATCCTGTTCATATGAACCTGTCGTCAGACAGAAAACTAAATAAATAAAAATAAAATATATATATGTGTATACAATGACTATAATGTGAGTGTAGTGTGTTCAGAAAATGTCAGAATTATTACCTTTTTGCTCAAAAGCTACATATAAAACTTCCGCGTTCTTTTGTGTAAGACATCACGGAGAACAAATATTGTCCTATTTATAGGATGAACAGCAAAAACAAAGTTTTTCAGCCTAGCTCGCTGCCCAGATTGAAAGCAAAACTAGTTTAGTAGAGGTGCACTGTCTTCAAGTTATTCTTTAGAGCGAGCTCTTTTAAAAATACGCTCGGGTGGAACGTACTGTCGGACAGTACAATCATAGGCGGCTGTTGCTATGACAAATGTTTGTTCCAGTAATTAACCAACCTTTTGTGTCTACATTAAAATCTCTTGCAACGTAGAAATTGTATCCATCAGCAGTCTTCACCAGCATGACAATGAATGCAATAGGATTCTCTGCTAGAACCAGAAACTCTAAATAAGGAAGATTTTCCAGCAGTTTAAGACTGGGTATCTTTATCTCTTCATAAATTCAATGAACCAAACCTTACCGCCAATGTTTTATTTTCTGTACAGACTTATAGCCACTCCAAATTATGTTCTAATTTCAAATCAGGTTAAACGATTTCTTTTTCAGCGTCTGGTGGAATGTATCCAACTTGACTAAATTCATTTCATTGGAAGGCGTGAATATTGTTATCATCTTGTGTTGTTTTAGAGTATCTTCAAAGCCAAATTGTTCTCCTCTTTCAAAATCAGGACACAGACCTTGGTCCGTAATTTCCTTCGACCATTTGCCTTAATTAACACCTTCAGATATTATGAAATGCAAATCAGTGCCTGGAGATAACGACAGAACAGCAAAGAAATCAATTAATAAAATTATCCATCGGCATAATAATATTAAAAATCACGTAGTTTGTTTTCTTGGAACAAGGAAAGCACTGAATTTGCTATAAATGAAACAACGGTCCATTGGATACTTAGATAAGCTCTCACTAATTATCACCTTTACGTATTTACTCATGCATTATCATTACCACAAGAACGAGTGGGCATTGCCTGGGAACCTTATAAATTTAAGATGTTCTTCCCCCCCCTCCGAAGCAGTGTCCCTCACTTCTCCATCACCAATTTTCTCTTTGTTTCTATTACTGTATCCTTCCTAACTCTCTCTTTTTCTGTAATAAAGTTCTCTCGGGCAACCAGCCTCGTCCTCATGTACTCTGAGGACAAAGACAGAAATGGTTCTCTAAACGTTGTATTTTTTACCTTTTAACCACCTGACACGGGTGATAGCCTGAGAGAACTTCATTATATCAATTCGTCATCAAAGCATCAGATAATACATCTATCTTTTAGGATCCTTGGATCTGTACAACGACATGAACTGTGGATAATAACAAGTAATCCTACCCCTGTAGAATCTACTATGATGAAAAAAATGTCAGAGGAATTTTAACCCGCGTAACACGTATGATGATAAACTTTAAAATCTTTGTTAATGACGCAACGGTTGTGGAAAACTTATTGGCTGTCACACATTAGAAAAACTTTAAACTTGGCAGCGTCGTAAAATTTTGGTGTGGTGGACGCTGGATCTTTTCAGAAACATGATAATTTTTATCTGCTTGGCATAGCGTTTCAACTGATAAATTTCCAGCCACAGATTTGCTGTCGTCGGACTTCCGAGTGGGTCCGCACTTTCAAGGTCAAATCTTACCTCCTGACTGGCAAAGACTATCTGCGTTTGGTATAAGCCCACCTGCTACTAGAGATGCTGAAAACTAACACGGAGGAGATTCCTTCACTAGTAGTAACGTACATTACCACCAGATGCCTGTAGCAATCAACGAGAAAAGACATAAGGACCTCATCAGCGATAGCGACATTCCCCTGTATAATTTTTTTTCCTCTTAGCAGACGTCAGTTGTTAGCCTGTTTAAACAAGTGGAATATTTGTTATAGTGGAAATGAGCTGGAATTTGTATCAGTTTGTAATTTTAACTCTCAAGCAACGAATGGAAGGAGCTCGAGTCAATAGGCCAAAGGAAGATGGCGGCTCTTGGGCACAGGAACTCCCAAAAACCACAAATATCTTAATTTCGTAAGCATGAATTGTTCTAAATCCTAGACACGTGACGTTTGAATGCGGCCAATTGGCGTATTATTTATGTTTTATGAAAATATAAACACGCAATGTGTATCGACACTTCCCCGTGAGTGATAGGCAACTTCTCCGGCACGTCTGTGGGGCAGGTCTTTCGTAACAGCAGGCGTCAGCAGAGACAGCCGAATGCTACGTTCTGATACGTAAGTACGTTTGTTTAAAAGACGCGAATGCTGCTTTTATTCGAATTTCAATGGAAGTGTTAATGTTTTACTGACATTCTATCTATTATTATCGTTCCATATTTTGAAATTTTAAAACTGTCCTAATCATTATCCTTGGCCAATACATTGAAATCATTGAGAGTAAAAGCCGATCATACTTGCAGGAATCTATTTATTTTCCGTTAATTCAAATAAGTTTTCTTTGTAAAAATGTAACCAAATTCGTCTCGAGAAATTCACAGTTTCTCAGCTACTCCATAAATTTCTCGCCTTTACTAAACGGGAAAAACATTACCAACAACACAGTCCACCATTTTTCCCTACTCTGAGCTACATGAACCCAGTACATTCCTTTATATCCTACTTAAAGGTCAATTTTAATATTATCTTTTTATTCATGCCTAAACATCCAGAAAATTCTTTTAATTCAGATCTTCCACTGAAGTCTTGTAAAC